CGGTAGTGTCTATCGAATCTAAGTAGTCGTCCACATAGAACTTGATAGTTATTGGGATCCTTTGTCATCTTTTGAGCGTTCAATTTTTTTATAAATTGAGGACATACTGGAGAACATGTTGCTCCAAAGGTCATTTGGTAGATATCTGGACTTTTGTGGCTCTCCAAATCTCGCCAGAGAAATCTTTGTGCACATCTGTCAGCTTTCCTTACTTGAATCTGGTGAAACATTTCACGTATATCTCCACAGAACGCTATTTTTCTTTGTCTGAATTTCTAGAGGATAGCTACAAGAGGGGATAACAAGTCTGGTCCCGCAAGTAAGTAATCATTTAAACTTTTTCCATCAGACTTTGCAGCCGTATCGAAGACTAGTCTGAGCTTTTTCTTATTGACATTCACAACCGGAAAATGTGGAAGATACCAAGTAGTAGGCCCTTCAACAGAAGCTTCTTCGGGAGATAGTTTCTCTGCATACCCCTTTTCGATATAACTTTAAATTCTCTTTGAATACTCTTCGACTATTCTGATGTCTTACATTTTCATTCAACACAGCGAAGTCTTTGGAGGGCTGTAGTTTTACTAGCTGGAAGAACTGGATTCTCATCTTTCCATAATAGGCCTATCTCATATTTATTTTCTGTTCGCCTAGCTGTTTGCTTCATTATTTCCAGAGCTCGTTTTTCGTCGGATGTCATAAGGATATTAGACTTTTTAATTCCAAAATTATTAATGGAAAAACTTTCTTTTAGCACTGTTTCTATTCTATCTTCTGAAAAACTAGACATACTACATACGTGTAATAGACAACTACTTTCAAGATTCGTATCATTTGCAATGTTTGGACCATGCAAAGCCCAACTCAACTTACATTTTGATGCTACTGGTGCATCTTCAGGCCCGCTACGAATTTGTTTGGTAAGAATCAGGTTGATATTGTCTTGGCCAATCAATAGCATCGTTTTTCGTTGGAGATGTCTTCTAGTAGGATATCTTTTAGGTGTGGATACTGTATAAGATTGGACAAATCAACCGTTTGTGTGGGCAGAGATAAATTTTCTACTGTATGAACGTTTTTTAAAGTATACAATTTAGTCTTTGGCCCATTATTCGAAATCTGCATATCCAAACATTCTGAGTTCTTTTGATTAGATGTTATATCTCCTGTCCATTGGAGGCACAGTTCCTGCTTCTTTCCATAGAGTTTCAGCTTATTAATAATTTAAGAATCAATTAATGCTACTGTAGAAGCTTGATCACAAGGAGCCAATATTCTTAAATTAGCATTCTGGTCCATAGAGTCTTACAGGTAACATTCTTAGCAGTACATTTTTTGTGTCATGCTTTGTGGTATATACATTACTCGTATTGTTTAAAGAACACTGTGAGTCATTTTCGTACTGTCTAGCTGTATACTTGTAAAGTAGTGGATGGTAAAGTCGTTTACAGTTGTCAACATCACACGGTTTCTTACTTTTGCATCTAGTCTTCTGATTATTTTTTTTTTTCAGATAACAGAAACATAATTTTTTCTCTGTTATCACCTTCCATCTAGTGTCTACACCGTCAGCCATCATTTTTGGACAGTCTCCCTCATGATTCTTTCCATCACAGTATCTACATTTTATATTATTTTGGGATGTATCGATAGTACTGAGGTCTCTTTCTAGTTTTGTTTTAGCGTATGGAGTTTTGCATCCACTCTTCTCAACAAATTTATCTCCCCCACCAATATAGCTCGTCGCTACTGCCATTCCAGTAACCCACTCGCTAAAGTCTTGTAAATCGACATGACCTCTTTTCATTGCCACTTCTTTTCCCCATTTTAACTTAAGTATGTCATGAAGTTTTGTCAGAAGATCTTTTAGCAGTTGAGGATTATTCATGTGGCCTACAGACCTAAGTGTTCTCATAATGGCGACTAGATTATTAACTTCGTTTGAAAATTGTATTAATTTATCTAAATTGTGTTCTTTAATAAAGGGAATGACTTTTATTTTGTAGATCAAAACTTCAATTATTTGGTCTAGGCTACCAAGTCGCATTTTTAAGGAATTTATCACCAATTCGACGTTTTCAGCCGTTAGTAACATCCCTGCGACTGACGCTTTTGCTTCGCCTTTTAGACATTTTTGTAATTTTGTCATGATTTCTGCTTGACTGTAGTTACCTAGTGAGATAATGTTATTTAGTTGGCAGTAAAAAAGTGGCCATTCCTCTGGTTTTCCATCAAAGTAAGGAAAGTCTTTATCAATGGTTTGTTGTGCAATACATTTTTCAGTGTTTGCAGTTGGATTTGAGCTTACTGCATTTATAAGCGTTTGGCAAAGTACTTTCATATCATTGTCTGGCAGTTCATTGCTATTGCCTATATTTGCGCCTATCTTTTCATTATCCTTCAGCCTCTCTGAAATTGACTTTGACTTTTTTCACTTGAAGCTTTAAGTTCTGCATCTTGCAGCTCATGTTCTAGATCTAATAATTTCATGTTATTTTTTATTTCGATTTTTTGTCTTTGTATTTCGATTTTTTGTCTTTCAAGTTCCTGTTTTTTCTTATATTTATCTAGTTCTAGCCGTTTTCTTTGAATACTTATAGATGATGAGGAACCTGCTTTGGAATAGGCATTTTCTAGTCGTTGGTCGGGTATTGAGTTGTCCTTTTTTGTTGCCAAAATTATCCGGCCAGACGAAATCGGTGGACAAACTTTTGTTAACGCCGTCTCCACTCCTTCTTGGTCTATACATCAGAATACGTTATAGGTACGTCGGGGTCACCAAAATGTTCTGTTTAGTCTATTTAAAATCAAATTAAGCTCCTTGTAAAACGTATTTTATTTCCCAAAAACTGACACTAATCAAAATCACTGAATTCTATCAAAAAAATCATTAATCTAGTTAACAACATAAAACAAGTATATAGGCAAAATAGTCTAGTCCATGACAACTGTAGTAAGCAATAAGGAGTGGATAATTATGAAAATTCCACACCTGTAATTTTGAACCAATTAAAATACGTGTTTTTGACAGATCACCATGGCAACGGAGGTATTTTAGTGGAAATTTTTTTCTCGTGGGGTACCCAACAGCGAATTATACTGGAAATTTTTTGACGTTTACAATAACAGACCATTTTTGACAGACTGGTTTTTATTTGTTCACATAATAGGTTTAGTTTTGATACATTTTAGTTACAATGCTAAGGTGTTTTCTATATTCTTCGTCCACTTCTTTTCTTCTTAATGGCGAAAATGCAGGACTTTAGATGCTTTGAATTATGTGTCTATGTCTAATAAAATATATATAATATTTAGACACTAATTTATTCACCTTTTTCCCATTCAGCACTTTGAATTTTGCGTAGTTTAGGTGCAAATATTCGTGGACAATTCGGAACAAATTTTCGTTTTTCAAGTTGGAGCCACAATCCTCTATTAATCCGAGTAAGTAAGTCAGAGTACAATGATTGATCATTACATCAGACAATTTCACGCATATTTTGCATAGCGTATGATTTTCAAATCGATTCATTTTTAAACAAATAGGTAATTTTGTTGGTTTTACTTGCTGTGCAATATTCTTTATCGCAACAAAACGCGAGTTATTTAATGTTTTGAACTGTCAAAATACAATGATCACAGCCTCCTACGATTGATGCTTGCTGACGCTGGTTATGAATTTCATACCATTTTAAAGCGCTCATAACGCATGTTAATAAAAACGCAGAAAAACAATTTTCTACCACTTGTAGTTATTCAAAACTTACGTAAAATTAAAGAATATACTATTTTCTATTTTCAAATGGTATTCCCATGCAACTACAATGAGTAGAAATAAGCAATTTGAAGGCCTAAATAATTGCAGCGAAACATGTTTTACGTCGGGCCGCTTGACAACTTCAAAACTGAAATTATATTCGAGGTTAGGGTCTCACTTAGTTACCATGACAACTCAACAATCAAGGCGACAACACCTTTAATGTTTCACTGGTGACTTGGAGAAAATAATTTGCATTGTTGAGAAACGAAAAATAAATTTTAAAAATATATAATTTTCAACCATAATTCGGCGTGGAATTTTCTTACCGAATACCACGCGAGGTCAAATTAATATCAGGAAATTTTTTCTCGCTCATGAATATTTTTAGAAAATTTCCCTCCTCTGCGACTCGGGAAATTTTCAAAATATTCATGAGCTCGAAAAAATTTCCGGAAATAATTTGACCTCTAGTGGTATTACTAGTGAAAATTCATGGCAGGCTGACATCTGTCAGAAAACTAAATATTAGGAAATGTACATACGGTTGAACAAAACAGTTATAGGCAAACAAGAGAAGGACAAACCAGAAAAATTTTTACACTAGTAGGTATATAAACATGCAGGTAGAAAAAAATTAATTGTAAAAAAAGTTGCAAAAAGTTGTAAAACCTAATTACATGCACATTTAAATATTACACTAGTTTCTTGAATAATAATATTTAAAAGGTGGGAAAGGGACGGAACATAACTAAAACAATTTTAAATCTTGGTAAAAATAAAAAGTTTTCAAAAAAAATTTCACTTTATTTTAAAACGTAAAAAAATAAGGAAACACCACGGTACATTCTTATTAAATTAATTGAAAATAGATACCTTTATTTTTAATATCCATAACTAAAAACTGTTAGTTCTTGCACACCTTCACCAAAAAAATTATTAACAATTCTTCAGAATTTTAACTGAATTAAAATGTCCAGTTAAAACAACCAAAAAACTATTTGACTTTTCACTGTGTCAAAACAACAAGCAACAATTTTTTGTTTTCATGGCCAGCTCATCAGCTATTGTGTTTACTTTGAAATAATCCATGTTTTTATGCAAATTGGTGAAGTTGCATTCTTGATTTTTTCCGTTTTTTTCTCAAGAAAATCCACTGTGCGTCGTGGCAGTTTGGTTAAATTAGTCTTTGGATTAGTCGCCAACATTTTTTAATATTTAACTGATTTTGATTCAAATATTACAGGTAAGATAATACCGGATCTGTCGGTCGCAGATGAGTTTGAAGACGAAATACAAGGATATTTAGTGCAGTTAGAAGCAGGAGAAGGTTATGAGGATGAATGGGATGAAGAAAAGGATGTAGATGATGAGAGAATGAAAATCTATGAAGGACTAAATTTAACTCTTCCAGTAAGTATTATTAGATATTTAAGGTGCAAAATATGTGGCAATTACCTATTAGCTTACCTGCTATTTAGCTCCACAACTTCGAGCAGCGCGGCGCGCATATTTGTATACAACACCCAGGATCGCCAGTCGGCTTTCGCCCGAACATCTCTGGTAAATAACAGACGATATGGCAAATCACTTGGGTAACTAACACCCGCGATTGCAAAAATGTTCGTTCAAAATAAGTCTGGAAAAAAGCGCCAAAAGCGGTTAAGATTGAGGTTAGTAAAACGCAAACCAAACGATTAGTATTGATTCAGTACGGAGGTTTAGGTTTTTATATTTGATTTTGTGATTAAATAAAATATCAATTTGCCACCAAATTGTGACTACAACATAGTTGATGACCACACAGTTAGGACAACCTTATCTAATAAGGAAGAAATAGAAGTAAGTACCTTTTATAATTCTTTAATACCTAATTGAAGCCGGTAAAAATGAGGTTATGTCCGGTTTAGGAATTTTATCATAAATGTATACCTACAATGTAATTGCGTTGAGCGTTATACAGGGTCTGCTCAAATTTCATTACAAAAAGTTATTCTTGATAAATTTGGTGCTTGGAAAAATAAAGGCTTTGACGATCTTGAACCTGAGGTCAAGTGTACAGGGTGCTCCTAAAATACCAAAATGTGCTTCAATTTCAAATTGGTTTGGGTTGTTTTGGATTTGTTTGGGTTAGAATTGGTTGAATTAGAATAGTTTAAGGCTAACATTCTGGCGCACACTGTTTACAGTGTGTCCAAAATAAGATGACCTTATCTCGGAAACTGAAAGTTATAACAAAAAAAATGTTAGGATTAAAGTTGATGGGTCTTAGGTACATTTTTATTGTTTAATAATGACAAATATACAGGGTTTTCAGTTTTTCCGGAACTGTCCAACTTCCCAAATTTAAATAGAACACCTTATATATTTTTCAATTTTCTTTCTTTCAAATTCTAGATTATTTTTGTGTGAGGTACCCTATGTCTAGATGTAGTACTTTTTGAGATATTTAAGATCAAAAATAGCAATTTTTTAAATTTTAGCTTCCTGTAGCTCGAAAATTATGTCACAGATCAAAAAACGAGTTTCATTTCCCTATCTTAACTTTTAATAGCTACCAAATGGTATAGCCAGTTAGTGGTACCATGGCAACCATCGATGGGACCAAAAATAATATCCATGGTCCAACTAACTGGTTAAAACATTTGATAGCTATTTAAAAGTTAAGATAGGAAAGTGAAACTCGTTTTTCGATATGTGACATAGTTTTTGAGTTACAGGGTGCTAAAAGATAAAAATTGCGATTTTTTGTATTAAATATCTCAAAAACTACTAGGTCTAGATATAGAGTACCTTATACAAAATTAATAAAGAATGTCATTTTTCTTTTACAGAAATGGATGACAGATTATCAGAATACTACCAAAACAGCTTGGAGCATACACAAAACTGTTCAAAACCCCATTAAGACCGCCAAGAAAAACTTATTTAAACGATACTATTATTGCCGTTTTAGTATACGTGAAACAAAAATTTCTGAAACTAATCGAAAGAGAGCTCATGCATCGCGAAACATAAATTGTCTTGCCAAAATTATAGTCACAGTACATCGTATTTCTCCTCAATATTACCGAGCAAATTACCCTGATATTATTGCTGAAAATTGGCCGTGTCTGATTGTATTTAATAATTATCACAATCACACAGTTGATAGCGCTATCAAAAAGACCCATTGCAAATGAAACCATTCAAGAGATTCTTCAATTTTTTGAGAGAGGCCATTCAGTGTCATTGGCTTATCACAGTTTCTGTTTTTCAAAAATGGAGACACTTGGAAATAATTACGATGAAATGATGTCAGACAGACATTATTTTGCAAAAAAAAATATTTTTAAAATATTTGGAAAAAATATTTTAAGGCATCATTTGGTGCTTGTTCTGGAAAAGATATGCTAGCTGCACTGGACAAAAAAATTTTTCTACTGATACTCTATATAAAATTTAGCAAATTTCAGAACATAACGTCGTTTCTCTATGCACACCGATGATGCAAAGAGCAGCAAGTCTGCTAGTTCAAACTTCTGAAATATTATTTGTGGATGGCACCGGAAATTGTGATATAGAAAATCACAAATTATTTTTTTTTTGAAACGCAGTCTTCGGTTGGAGGTATTCCAGTTGGATGTGTCCTTACAACATCTGAAAAACGTGGGGTGTTTGATGTGGCTGTAAAAAATGTAATAGAAATTATTCCCACAAAAATATGTCCTTCAGTTATTTTAACTGATGATGATTTAAAAGAGCTAAACGTGCTCCGAACATATTGGCCAAATGCGACATTGTTACCCTGCACATTCAATGTGTTAAAATCGGCCTGAAAATGGATTTGTGCCTCCGGCAATAATATTGAGCGCGATAATAGACTTTTTAGACAAATTTTAATGGCAAATCAAAGTGAGGATCAAGTTGAGTCCAACATTGCATTATTTAAAAAAAAAACTTCTAAGTATCCCAAATACCAAAACTATGTACAGAAAATGATGGAAAGAGGTTTGGTGTCTTTTTTACAGAAAAAAATACCAACAATATGGTTGAAGTAGCGTTTAGGCTTTTTAAAGGTATACCGTTAGAAAGAACAAAAGCCTATAACCTTGTACAATTGGTTGATTTTATTACAACAAATTTTAACGCCTATTATAAACAAAGATTATTGGATGTGGTTACCAACAAAGTAGATATTAGGAAATATACAGTAAATGATAAGGATATTAAACCAGATAACATAAAGAAATTGAATAATTTTCAATATTCATTTCTAAGTTCCTCAAGCTCTATCGAATATTATGTTGATATGCAAAGTTTTACTTGTTCTTACCCCGAAGGCTATACAGGGAAGATATGCAAACATAAATCAGGGGCCTATAACACAATGCTTACAATTGTAACAAGTCTACAACTTATTAGTAATTCGCTTATACCTACAAGTACCCCGTTTTATTGTAACACAAACTACTTTCATATACTTGTATGTATCAGTGAAAAGATTCTACACTTGTACATTTCGTTGCTACTGGACAAGTTAAATTAAGTTTACTGTGAGTTAAATCATTTAAATTTTTACATTGTTGACAACGGGAAACGTGTGAGCTGTAACGTGTCTTAACGTGTTTTTTCTGCGTTTGTGGGCTAAATAATATTGGTAGTAGCCATGGCTAGCAAACAAGTAATAATCGAGGGAAAAATGCATCATTTTTTACAAAACGTTAAAGAAAATAAAGAAATTCTGTTCGGTGCCTTTTCTGAAAAATTGAAAAAATCAGACAAAGTTTTAAAATGGAAAGAATTGGCAAATTTAGCAAACAGCGTTTGTTTAATACCTTTTGATAAAGAGTGAACATATGCCAGAGACACACTATGGCAAAATATGAAGAAAATTACAATGGTAAGTAGGAACGTATTATTTGTTATTTTACCTACTACTCGTACGGGTTAGCTAGACGTATGAGAGTATTTTAATATAAATGGACCATAGAAAAACTGTTTAATTTTGAGTCAACATATTATGATTGAGCTTAACAACTACCAGTCAAATCTCAATAATTCCTAATAGACCAAGAGCTATCCACCTAAAAATTACGCCCTGTAGAATGGAAACTGCGCCGTTTACAGTAAATTTTATTTAACTGTTTTTAATAATTAATTAAGGTCTAAATGTTTCCTGGTTTTCGGTACTCTATTCTGAAATATCCTGTATAGTTTTTATTTTAAGGCTAAAGTAGATAATGTCAGAAAAACGGGTACAGGCGGTAATGCAAAAATGAACGATGTTGATAATATGATGCTGGATATATGAGGAAAGGAGTCTCCAGTAATTGTTGGTCTAGGGGTGCCAGAATCGTTGGACGATGCAGAACCACTACCTCAAGACAGCATATCAATAGAACAGCCAACATTATTAACGCAAGACCCTGGCGTGCCCTCAACTTCCTGCATAGAACTATTGTGTTGATTGTTGTCAAACAATTTTGCAGAGAAACGAAAGCGTATTAAGACGTGTACAGGAGAAAAAAATTCCGATGTCAAGAACAAAGAAAAGCTTGATTTGCAAATTGAATGCCTAAAACTGCAAAATTACAAGACCAAATTAGAAATTTTACAGTTAGAAACTGCACTACACCTTCCAAAATCTGAATTTACCCAATGTATTGCTGTTACAGACATTTCATACGGGCAGGACTAGCGTACCACATACATGAACCTTTAAATTTTGAAACCTTTTTTACTAATAGGTTAATGTAGTCAATGGTTGCATAGAAATAAATTTGAATTTTTTGTTTCATACTAATTTATTCTAAAATAATCAATTAACTGTTGAACTCTAGCTTGACCTGCAATTTGAGGAGGTTCATTATCTCTGGGATTGTTTTCGTCAACTTCGTCATCATGACCATTTAATTCCACATCGTCTTTATTATTTTTTGTAGAAGACTGGATCAACTCGTAAGTAGTTCAAACATGGAAATTTTTCTTTCAATAAGCCTAAAGCGTTTTCTGAGTCCGTTTATGAGCTCTGTTGAAAGCGGTCTGCGCTGGGTTCATTGGATCATCATACGTTGGAGAAATTAACCATTCACGTAAAGGATATGCGGAATCGCCAAGAATTATAGCATTTGCATGTCTTCAACCATTTTCCATTCTACGAAACAGAGAACTGTTACGAAGTACTCGCGCATCGTGTACACTTCCGGGCCAATTTGCACTTATATAATAAAACTTCATAATATAATAAAAAATCAGGACCGCACACACAGCTATGCAAATGATTAAATACTTACCATGGCGGTCGACGTAAGTGGGTTCGTTATTCGTGGGGGCATTGATATTTATGAGGGTTCCATCTACAATTTCACAAGCCTCGGGAAATCCAGCCAAATTATGAAAGCGTTCTATTACGTTCCATGTATTGTCGGGCC